TTTCCATTCATAAACTTGCAGTACATTTAACAATGCATTGATACTAACTGAAGTTAATAATTTGCTTCGTTTAACCATTGTGATACTTAAAAATTTAAATCCAAGGTTAGCAAATGAAAACTTTTCACTTACATTATATGTCACTATCCATCATAAAATTATTTCGTGAAAAATAATTGGGGTGACATTTAGAGTTTCTTTTGATACTGATATTGCCCTTTAAAGGAATGGGAGAACATAACAATTATGCTTTCCAACAGGAAACTCTTGCAGCTAACCTCAACCTGTCACCTATGAAAGCACAACTGTGTATAGCCTTTGGCCAAAGCCGAGTCTTTTATCCTACTGTTCAACCGACGACTGGGCACCTCATTTACATATCTATGATATATGGCTGCATTCTTTTGAGTTTCCTATTCCTATATAATGACACTGGCTGGATCGAATGTGACATTTTTATATTTTGTTGTTTGTTGGTTTTTTTTGGTGGTTAAAAAACGAGGTAAAATCAAGAGCAGGCAGGAAGAAAGTGGCAGATTCCAAATTGTGATGGCATCTACATTAGAGAAAGTGGGAAAAACCAACCGCGGAGCCTGTTTTCCCATCATCAGCATACTAGAGGTGTTATGAAATCCTCTTTTTGATTAAGTTTTGAAAGGGCGATGAAAGGAGTAAAACCAGATCCTCAATGGTGAGCGATTTGCTCACGTAAATATACCATTGCTTTTCTCGCGCATCCGCATTATATTACCAGTCTAATATTTAAAATACCACAACCCATTAGCGTGAGTACAAAAAACTTTCAACGTGCATATTTATATATTAACTAAAATGATGTAATATTTTGAATGCAGTTCATTTGTCAGTCGAGAAGGGCAAAAACTCTTCAAAAAAGTAGGGCGCAAATAGATTTGCCCCTATGTGCAGCCTCAAATGATAATCACAGCAAATACCAGGTTTAACAAAGATCCATCGAAAGCTACGAAACTAGTTGCATTCACAAGGTGGTTTCAAACTACACTCATCTCCATGATAGAAGGGTAAAAGTCTAACATTGTGAGGGGAGGTCATTTTGTCAATTTTCATATTCAGATGATGACCAATTACAAAGTTTAATGGTGATCAAAGAAAACCAAGACCAGCTGCCACTTGCAAGATTTTGCCATACACTGAATCAAGATGCAAAGGAAAAGGGGCAGATATCTGTACATTGAGCAAGCAGTGTTTGGTTGCAATGAGTTACATATATTTAATTTATATTGCATACATAACTCTTGTTCATGGTTGAAAGTTGTAGAGAGAATGTTTACATAGCTAACTTTTGTCCAATGTTGTAAACTTCTTTATGTAACAAGAGTTTATGGTCAATCCTGTATATGTATGTATGTATGTATGTATGTATGTATGTATGTATGTATGTATGTATGTATGTATGTATGTATGTATATATATATATATGTATATATATATATATATATATATATATATATATATATATATATATATATATATATATATATATATATATATATATATTTTGTTGGACTAGGATTTTTTGTTGTAAATCTTCATCATTCTATGATGATATAGGTCAAATGAAAATGTATATAAATAGGGATTTGATAAGTAATTCAGTTCATTTTTATATTGATCTGTTTGATATAATTTAAGAGGGCTTTTTATTGTGTTTTATCAGGACAATCAAGACTAATAGAATTCGTTTGAAACATTATACAATTTTGGACTTGTGATATTACATTTAGAAATATATGGAATTACATTTGGAACATTATACAATTTTGGACTTGTGATATTACATTTAGAAATATATGGGATTACATTTACAATGCTGTAAATGTCTCTTAAATTTTCACTTGTATTGTTGAGAAAAAAATTGTTGTTGGTTTTATTTAAAAGTTTTGGTTTCACTTCTTTCTGTTACATATTTTAAGACCTAGTGTTCCAAGAATGCAAATCTTGATCCTCACACCAAGGCCATAATATCTAAAATTTTCTTGTCAAATCTGATCACAAATTGTGCGACTATTTGACTATTTGTGATAGTAAGACTGTGTACCAGAAGGAAGGATGCATTAAAAGATGGATTGGTATGACTATTATTGTTTCCAATTCATTACTATCACCACAGAGAGAAATAATTCACTTAATGTTACATGTACTCGTTTCTTGCCTAAACATACTTGATTCTTGTATATACTTGTTTACAAGTCGAGTCAAACAGCAAACAACAAATATCCTGATCTGCCTTGCATAATGAACCTGCAGATCAGGGCCTATGTTGTTTGTTCTTCTAATTAGTCCTAAAAAACTGAAAAGACCCAGATCTGCTGGTGTATTATGCAGATTGCATTTGGAATTGTCTTATAAGTGAGTATATATGGTAATAAATGCTTTATTTTGTGCATATGTAAACTTTGGTTGACTTTTCCTTACACATAATGGAACAAGTCATGGAATCATAAATTCATGAATAGAACAAAGAAATTATCATGAATTATTGTGGCCACATAAATTACATGAATAATCTACAAACTATCACTCAAAAATCTGTTTTCATTTAGTACCAACTATACACCTTACAAATTCTGGTAAAAACCTCATGCCATTATGACTTTCCATTTTAGGAATAGCAATAACAAGTTTCAAAATGCTATGGTACCAAACTATTACTAAAAAATCTGTTTTCATTTAGTACCAACTATACACCATACAAATTCTGATGAAAACCTCATGCCATTATGACTTTCCATTTTAGGAGTAGCAATAACAAGCTTCAAAATGCTATGGTACCAAACTATTACTCAAAAATCTGTTTTTATTTAGTACCAACTATACACCATACAAATTCTGGTGAAAACCTCATGCCATTATGACTTTCCATTTTAGGAGTAGCAATAACAAGTTTCAAAAGGCTATAATAGCAAACTATTACTCAAAAATCTGTTTTCATTTAGTACCAACTATACACCATACAAATTCTGGTGAACAAATCAATGCCATTATGACTTTCCATTTTAGGAGAAGCAATAACAAGTTTCAAAATGCTATGGTACCAAACTATTACTCAAAAATCTGTTTTTATTTAGTACCAACTATACACCATACAAATTCTGGTGAAAACCTCATGCCATTATGACTTTCCATTTTAGGAGTAGCAATAACAAGTTTCAAAATGCTATGGTACCAAACTATTACTCAAAAATCTGTTTTCATTTAGTACCAACTATACAGCATACAAATTCTGGTGAAAACCTCATGCCATTATGACTTTCCATTTTAGGAGTAGCAATAACAAGCTTCAAAAGGCTATGGTACCAAACTATTACTCAACAATCTGTTTTTATTTAGTACCAACTATAAACCATACAAATTCTAGTGTAAACCTCATGTCATTATGACTTTCCATTTTAGGAGTAGCAATAACAAGTTTCAAAATGCTATGGTACCAATCCAGAATGTCACTTTAGCACCATTTTCATTTTTCAACTAGAACTAAACAGACTTTATAACAAGTCTTTGTCTGAAAACCCATACTCATTCTGGAGGAACACTGATAACATTTTTAAGCTGGCTGTTGTGGAGGCCATATTGGATGTGCAGGCAGAACCATTTTCATTTTGGGGAAAAATAGAAATCATAAAACATCCTGTAGTGAAACCCCCATGTTTATATGACCATCCATTCAGTAGGAGTGACAATAACAGGTACCACTGTTCAGGTTGATAATAAACTTGTGCTAAATGACTGATGGGCATCACACGACAAACAACAGGCCATCCCACAAGTTCTTCCAGTTTATATTGCTTCTTGTGGGTAGGTGGTTCTTCCCGGAGTTTTCCAGGGTTCTTCCTCCACCAATTACTGGCTGAGATGTATAGCCTATCTTGTGCTGAAAAATGGTGTTGAACCCAACAACAAAATCCTCCAGTCTATGATCAGTAGAGCTAAGAACTGGAGTCCCTCAATGAGACTGGAGCTCTACCGTCCAAAAAGAGTCTTGGAATTCAAGAAAAGGACATTTCTTCTATTTAACTGATGAGAGTTATACCATCCCCGATATTCTTGAATTATAAATTAGTCATTGTGGCAGCTATATTGGATGCATGACTTGCATCATTCTGGTTTAAGACAAAAGAGACACCATTAGAAGACTTTTGGTGAAAACTCCATCTTGTTACGACCATCCACTGAAAATAATTAATGACAATATTTTTGTAGTGTTCTAAGTGGCAGCCATTTTGAAGCCAAATCATAACCATTTTCATTCAAGACCAAAATGACATCATAAGCAGTCTTCTAGTTAAAACCCCATGTTGATGTGACTTTCAATTTAGGAGGAATGTAGTAACAAGATTCTCAAGATGGCTGTTAAGGTGATCTTATTGTTTAGATTGGCACCATTTTCATTTAGTACCAACTATAGCATCTCAAGAAGAATTTTAATGAAATAAAATGCTTAAAAGGCCACTTTTGTGGTCACATTTAATTTTAAAACTATTTTAATTTGGGTCCAGCTAAACATAATAAGAAGTCCTAAGTGAAAAGATCATGTTGACATGATTTTCCATTCAGGAAGTAATGAACAAGATGGCTCCTATGGTGGCCATATTGGATATCAGACTGACACCATTTTATTTAAGACAAACCAGACATCATAAGAAGTGTTTTTTTGATAACCCCATGTTGATATGACCATCCATTCAGGAGTAGTGACAAAATTTGCATGATGGCTGTTTTTGGCAGACATGTTTTATATGTTTAGCACCATGTATATGTTTGAGATTTGAATTCTTATTGCAACTTTAAAAAATTTTCATTGTGGCAGTTTATAGTGATGTCTTGCACTGGGGCATCAATCAGCAGACATGTAGCATCATGTTCCACCCAGTCACATTATCCTGACACCAGCCGAATAGTCCTAACACTAACCTCTTAATGCTGAGCACCAAGTGTGGCATCTGCTAGGACAATATTTTATAAGTCTTTGGGACGAATCAGTCTGGGTTCAAACCTGCAACTTCCTGCATCCAAGGCAGATGCTATAACCACTTAGGCCACCAGAGCAGTCCATTTAGCACCAACTAATAAGATGTAAGATGAGTCAAACAACAAAGATCCTGATTTGCTGTAGCATAATGTGCCTAGAGATCTGGGTCTATATTGTTTGTTCTACTGATCACTACAAACTGCACAGACTCAGATCTGCCTCAGCATTATGTGACCACAGATACAGGTCTGTGCAGTTTTCAGTTGGACTCAACCTATAAGTGAGTATGGATGATATTTAAAGGACATGGTGTGTGGTAACAGCTTTAATCTTTATTCTAATGGAAAGTAAAGTGCCAAATGAGAGGAAAGCTTTATCTTTCAGCCAGTTTCAATATTTATGGAAAGCATGAACACTTTGCTGATATTGTAGGTTTGCATGAAACACTGTTGTGAAAATAAATGCCTACCATTATGTCTAATTGGTGTTATCATTATAATATTGATAATACCAATAATTTATAATTCATCTAAGTGCAGGAGGACTTAAGTACCCATATACTATGAAATCACAAACACTAATTTCAAGATACACAACCAAAAATTCTATCATTTTCACAATTAAAAAGATTAGCAAACTGTCTTTGTAAAGCAGTTTCACCATAATAACTTCACATCAAAATACTTAGTTAAAAATAAAAATATATTTGAAAAAAATGAAATAATTAAAAAGATATAAAGCTGAATGCAAAATCCAGTACTTTTTTTTACTAAAAGCACAAGTAGATTCTTTCTGCTGAAAATCTTGACAATTCTCTACATCATGTACATGTATTTTTTATGACAACAATACACAACACAAATGTTAGGTTTTCGTATTTTATTTACAATCAAACAGTGGAGTGAAAATACTACAAATGTGATGATGCTACACAAATTTCACAATGTAAAAATAAAAACAAAGTCTGCAATATTGTCAGTTCTGCCACCAATCTGCAATATTGCCATTTCTGTCACCAATCTGCAATTTTTAAAGCCTTTTGGGTAATAATAACCAATATTTAAAATCCTACACCATTAAAGGATAAATAATAATAATAATAATAATAATAATAATAATAATAATAATAATAATAATAATAATAGTTTTCAAGACAAAAATATATATAAAATATCATTTGTACTTACTTGACTGTAATTTTCACAAAGATTTACAGAAGAAAAAAACAGCCTGCAAAAACTGTGGAAAGGTTTCACTGAACACAAGTACAAAAGCTTAAAAAAGGATGTTACAGTGTGATATTGAATTCTATTACTTTAACACTGGCAATCAAACTTTTTTCACAATAGTAATAAAATAAAAAATACATCTGACCTAAAAATTGTTAAGAAAAAACTAAATCAAGCTAGCAATAATAATGCATGAGGAATGTAAATCCTATGACAAACATGAAAATAATGAGTTGTTCATATACGATTAAATTACATGTATGTTACATATATAATGAATCCAGAATGCTCTAAAAGCAAGTTTGTCAGAAATCATAGAGTAAAAGTGCGGAAAATAATTTCAACTGGATAGGTGAGAAATTAAATAAAATGAAATTATTCTTTGTTTTCAGTATGAGAAAAAAATGGTCCAATTACAGGTAAGCAAATATACTGATTCAAAAATAAAGGAAATGATACCTTACCTGAAATCTATCAAAGCTAACAAGCTCAAAATGTCATATGTACATTACAGTACAGAATTATCCTAACAAAAATTTGGACTGAAATATATTTAAAACTTTCTCACATCCGAGTAAATTTTCTAACCATCCTTCAGGAAAAAAATGACAAACATTATAAATCAAGAATCAAAAAGTTCAGTTCATGGCATTTTATCAATTCTTTCCAGAGTAAAGTGTTCCCCCCCAATATTAAAAAAATAATCCTATCTAGGAAATTAGATGCAACTGTGATTATTATCATCTCAACTATTATCATCTCATATTGAAAATTTAAAAAACAAACAACAAATGAAAACCATCCTCAAACAAGAGCATTCCCCTGAATTCACACCAAACAAAAGAGTAGAAATAAGGGTCTTTAGTATGGTTCTCTATTACATTTCAGTCAATTATACAGCATTGTGATGTGCATGGAGAACCAGACTAAAGGATACCTATGTAAGGTCTGATCACACATTCTGGGTCTATTAACCACACCATGTAAAACATAATCTATAAAGCAAAGTACATTTGCAAAGAAATGATCAATTTTGTATTGCCTTTTGGTTTTGCTGAGCAAGACTGGTGGAAGCAAGTGAAGATATTTTTTTAAAAAAAACAATGGTAAGCTATTGAATATTAAGCTTCCTCAGATCTTTATTAAAATAAAGCTGAAGACCCAATTTGGTTAAAACTTACATTTTGGAAGGAAAATAGCTCTTTGGAAAAGATTAAAACAACTACAAATGACAGAAACACACATAATTATTTAATTACAAGTATAACAGAATCATCCCAAAAAAACTCTGTCAATTACAGACCAAATGGTCTCAAAGATCCTGACATTTAGTTAATACATGTAAATTTAAACTAAATTTACTATGCTATTTTCTTATTAATAATATCATAAACAATGACCTCTGACTTTGAGACCCCCAAATCTACAGGATTCTTTATTACCTAAGTACAAGCCTTCTACAAAATGCGGTAAAGAAACTTACTTTAGAAAAAAAGTTATTGTACAAATTTCATTTTTCTTTGAATCACAATGGTTCTGATCTTTGACTTTCTAAATTCAATAGGCAAGCTTCAAATGCAAAATCTCCACAAGTTCTGGTCAAGGACAGTGATCTTGAACTAAAGTTATCTTGCAAAAATTTTGTTTTCTGTCACTGTGACCTTAACCTTTGATCTTTCAACCTCCAAATCAATAGGGTGCAACAAAACTTCAAGCATAAGGCATCCTCAAAGTCTGGTCCAGGCATGTGGTGTAAAAACTGATGTTATTAGTGGAAACCATTTTGTATATTTCAGCCATATTTGACCTTTGACCTTTCAATCTTCCCACTTGACTTCTTACAAAGAAGTGAAATATAAAGTCTGGTATGGGTAGATGGAGTTATTGTATGAAAAATGAGGAACACACACTGTTATAAGATTATATGCTCTGCCTTAAAGGTGTAATTAACAGACCAGTCCAAACTGCACAGATCCAGATCCACTGTTACATAATGCACTGGTAGATCTGGGTCTGTGCAGCTTGTTAGGAGTAATCAGTAGAAGAAACAACACAGACCCTGACTTGCAGGCACATTATGCTATATCACGATCTCTACTTATAAATGAGAATATACAGTAATTTGTGCAAGGAAATGTTCAAAATGTAAAACATGTAGATGAATTATAAATTGCACTGTAAATGTCCTATTATAAATAATTCTCTATATAGGCATTAGAAAGATGCAGCTGACTAAGAAATCATTGAACAAGGGGTCTCAAAATTATGTGGCCTTGGTATATGGTCTTGAACTAAACTTGCTGTGCAGAAACTCTTATTCCTGTATGACTGACAACTGATCATTAGATCCCTGAATCTATAAGATTCTTTATTACCCACAAAATCATTATATCCAATTGTTAAACAATATGTAAATTTTTAAATATTGGCAGTAATGGCCTGAAAATTTAGTAAAATAGTCTTCTGTAAGGTCATAATCAAGTATATTGTATGGTTCTAAGTTGAGTATTTTTTGTGAAATCATTAAAATGGATATAGGGCAGTCATACAGATGGATCAAAAGTAAGCAATATGCTCCATTTGCTGTCACAAGCATATTAATTTTTTCATTCAAAATTATAAAATCAACTATGAGTTTTAGAAAATTGTAATAACAGTATGCATGAGATACTGTATATAACAGCTTATAGGAAATTGTAATAACAGTAAGTATGAGATACTGTATATAACAGCTTATAGGAAATTGTAATAACAGTAAGTATGAGATACTGTATATAACAGCTTATAGGAAATTGTAATAACAGTAAGTATGAGATACTGTATATAACAGCTTATAGGAAATTGTAATAACAGTAAGTATGAGATACTGTATATAACAGCTTATAGGAAATTGTAATAACAGTAAGTATGAGATACTGTATATAACAGCTTATAGGAAATTGTAATAACAGTAAGTATGAGATACTGTATATAACAGATTATAGGAAATTGTAATAACAGTAAGTATGAGATACTATATATAACAACTTATAGGTCAGGACCAACACTGGCAGATCAGTGTCTACCATTTTATTGTTTATTCCACTGATTGTGCCACAGCAAACTGCATAGACAAAAATCTGCTGGCACATTATACGACACATTTGGGTCTAGGCAATTTGCAGTTGGACTTGTAAGCAAGTATGCATGGTAATGCTGGCAAATTATGCAATGACACATTTGGGTCTAGGCAATTTGCAGTTGGACTTGTAAGCAAGTATGCATGGTAATGCTGGCACATTATGCAATGACACATCTGGGTCTATGAATGTATGTTATTATTATGTATGGTAATAATCTTAATAAAACTGAGTTAATAAAATTCAAATTATGCCATACATTAACAATCTTCAACCTTTTTTCTTCACATAAAAAACCCACTGCAATCCTTGCATAGGTCTATAATTTGCTATAAATAGTATCCTGCTGTAGAATTGATTTCTTTTTTTAAAAACATATCTTTACAATGAAAGTACACAAAATACTTGAGACTAATATACTTTTGGTTATTGACATATATTCTAAAAAGTGAAAATTAGAGTAATTTGGGAAAAGTTATACCTGTCAATTAAAGCTGGTGAGAAACATAGTCAATTACAGTAATTGTGTAAATGTAGTTAAAAATTAACAAATTTTACACAATTTATTAGATATTGTTAGGCAATGCATAACAAAATCACAAAGTCCAAAAACATATTTGTAAAAGTAATGCTAGATGACAGACAGGTAACATTGTGAAAACTTTCTGTTAACATGACCTTCTGTTCGAAAAGACTAGCAATAATGAGATTTTCAAGATGGCCATTGTG